CTATACGAGACGAAAGCACTCGAGTGCCTGATGCAGATCTGGCAAGTGTCAACAACAGCAAGTTCTACCACTAGTACTCTCCATTCAATGACTTTCCACTTTCCTATAAGAAAAAACATCTAAATGGAATTAAAAAAAAAAAAAAAAAAGAAAATGAAATATTTTTTCAAATAATAATCTATCATTGGATAGCACTACATTCTTTTTCACTTCCTCCTCGAATAGCTTCAAGATAGCTTCGTGTGTTTAATGAACCACGTTTTAACTATGTTTTTTTTCTTCTTTTAAATTGTTAACTTTTTAAATGAAACTCTCTAACTCTCTTTCTCTCTTTCTCTCTCTTTATTAGACAAGACGCCGCTCGTCTCATCGAAGCGAAAAATTAATGCTTTCAAGGAAAGGAACATTTCTCGGTAATCATTGACTCCGACATAGAACACATGTCCACAATGAATGACCCTGTTGTGTCAGTTTTTCCATGAATTTCTTTTCTAAAGAAAGATTAAACAGAAAAAACGTTTCGTTGTATTAATTGGAATAACACATTATTGAATATGAAGATATAAAATAATGATGAGCGTCCCATAATCGATGTGATTAGGCACAACATTAAAAATTTGTCCTGTCGCAAAATATGCACACGTTGTTCTAACCATCTAACTATCTTTTATCTGGAATAACGGAAATTGATAAAGTTTATCAACGCTTCGATGATTATTATTGACGATTAGGTTTTTTTGTTCTTTGCTTATTAAATGGGCAAAAAAGAAAAAAAAAGCGAAGTAATTTTATGAAATAATTTATAAACGTTACTTGGAACAAACTTCTTCTTGGATGGTCGAAACAAAAATTCAGTAGTTTCCTTTTTCGCTGATTGGGAGAAACAAAAGGCGGTTAGGAGTCGTTAAGAAAAAAACGGGAAAAGAATAAAAAGACTCGCTGATTAACTAATTCTTACTTTCTCCCTCTCTTTCACCAACTTCGTCATCAGGAATACGTATCCATATGCATTTTTATCTACGTATATTTGATGTTTTTGTATTAGTGTGTTTGTATGTTCGTCTGTGTGAGTACGCTGCCTTTCGGGGGGGCTTTGTCCTGTGCACCTGTTGCACCCGTGTCCTCACAAAATTTAACCAAATAGAAATTAATTAAAAAGAAAAATAGAAGAGAATTTATATTTATTGAGTGTAAGATCAAAATGAATTTAATGTTCATTACTAATTACTATAGATATTAGTCCTACTTAATCGCGAAGTAATCTCGATTTCGATGAATATTATCAATATTGACCAATCAAACATTTGAAATATGTATTATCTCTATGTTTAACCATAAAAAGAATAATGTAACAATCCTTGTTGTCGTCGTTCGTTTGTCGTCGTTCGTTTGTCGTCGTTCGTTTGTCGTCGTTCGTTGTTGTTAAACTTTAGTTGCTCTTCGGTTCGGTGAAGATAATTAATTTTCTCGCAATTACATAGGTGGGCGAAATAAATAATATTCTCTTGGTTGCTGCATATTGTGCATTTTTGAATTATGTATGTAGTATTATTACGTACAGTACTACGCCTTACTACCTACGCTATATGAATGTTTCGCTATACGATAATATACGGATTTTACACTGATTGTAAAATCAAGAAATATGCGGAAAAAACGTCTCGAGTTGTTGGTTCGCCCTGTTGAAATTGGAGAATAATTTGGAATCATGAAAATTTTGTAAAAAGCCAACTAATGAGCTCACAAAGTATGACGACGACCGTCGTTGAGGTTCATCCAAAGAAAAATGCTATTACAAGATTTACAACAATCAATATCTGCCGAGTTCGACGGACTGTGAACGCAGCCTATCGCGTGATCGAAAGAAACTTTCCAGTTTCCTGCCTGTAAATATGTCGAACGTACATACACGCGTGTGTAATACCTACACCACGTACAGCACAATAACTTAAAATAATACAAATAGTCTATCTCTACTTTCCAAATTGTTCAAATCGTTATTATAAACGAAACGAATGACGTTTCATAATGAAAACTTATTATCTCTCTATCTCTCTAATTATCCTTTATATTTCGATAATATATTATTGTATTATGTGTATCTATATGTTATTTTAATTGTTATTCATTGTATTTCATAATGTCCAATAGTCTTTATTACTTAGCCCACTATCAATATAGAAATCGTACGTTATTCATCAAATATATTTTCTTTCAAAAACTTTCCGTCACATTTCAACGATCGATATAACTCGCTAGAATAAAGTTTAGAATTAAGTCACCGAGGAGATTTCAATGAAAGATCGTCCAAACGTCGTCTAAGCCACTTCTCTCACAATCAGTTACACTCGAAGATGCTATTTATTTGCATCATAATAATTATTTTAGCTCATAATAATTGCAAAACTATATAATGAAATAATTCCAAAGAAGAATTGCATTCAATGATGGGAATTTCATTTATGTCAATAAATTTGACATAAAACAGTTTTTTGTATTGAAAACGTTTTAAGATAGGGCGGAACAATCGAGCATATGTGATAAGTTATGCATATATGTATAATACATTGATTATTAGCATATACGGTACAGCACGTATTAAACCGATCGATGTGAATAATGAAGGAAATTTCATTTTAATAACAAATCGAATCAAATCATGTACAATTTTTCTTATTGTATATGAAAGGACAATAAAAAACAAAAAAAAAACAAAAAACAATAAATCTCTATATAGATTGAGTTCGTTGACCGTAGATATATCGGTTAAAAAAGAAATACCTTAGATGTATTGTGATCAAATCAATCGGAATGAGAAAAAAATCCTTTGCACGCAAGCACGCACGTACGCACGCACGCACGCACGCACGCACGCACGCACGCACGCAAGAATACGTCAAAATTTTACGCGCGTCGTATTCGAACGAAAGAAAAGGAAGGTTCAACAAAATGGTGAGAGTGAAGGCATGGAAAGAGAGGGGAAAGGTGCACGGTACGATGTGTAATATCTACCTGGACTAAAGCATTCACAGGAAAGACGTTCCTATTGAATAAGGAAAAAAGGAAAGAAAAGAAAAGAACAAAATAGAATAGGTAGAAAAGGAAAAGGACGATTCACACAGCAGGTAGAAGGGATCTGACAATGTAGAAATACCTGTTACTGTTTAATGTACAACATAGAAACTTATTTCTATCTTACCTGCCACGATGTATCGTGCCTGCATTTTCTTCTTCCGCCGACGCCGCCGCCACCTTTCGTCCCTGTTGTCTCTGTCGTCGTCGTCGTCGTCGTTCTTACACAGGTAACACGCGATCGAAAAATTATTCGATTTGATTTTCAACAGCGTAACATATCGTTTTTTATATTAGTATCACGGCAAATATTATTTCCCTATAATCGTGTTTTTTTAATTATACGCTTTTTCTAAAGAAGATCGCAAACACTGATTCACGCATAGATAATGCAAGTTCCCCTCCAATTGTTGTTGTCGTTGTCGTTGTTGTTGTTGTCGTCGTCGTCGTCGTCCTCGTCATATAGGTATATATTCCTCACAGCTGCTTTATTCTTTTCCAAGCAAAACTACGAACCAAGAGTAACAACAGTCACGCGTTGCAATACCCATAAACCCGCAAGGTATACGCATCAAAGGAGACTGCAGCACTCTTCCGGAGAACGCCGCCGGTTTACCTTCCCGCGACGAATACGATCCACCCCCACTCCTGCCTTCGACCCCTCTTCGCTTACCTATCCCTTCTACTCTAACTGACTTACGGCCCCGCTCACGACTTTACCGTACACTTCAGTGGTTCTCAAATTCTTTCGAAAGAAAAACCATTTTCAATCGAAATTTGTCGATTATCGATGATTTTTTCAATTTTCTCATACTTACTTTTTCTTTCTTTTTTGTTCTTTTTCTTTTTCATATTTCGATTATTTTGAAAATTTTCTTATGCAAAGAAAAGAAATTTTAAAACAGGAGAAAGGATATTTTAAGAAAGCAAGAGAGAGTACATCGGCACCAATGCCTCATATTATACATGACGTGCGATTATTTCGAATGGATCTAAAAGTATATGTAGTTCGATGTCCTATTGAATAGAATATTTCTTAATATATTATATATACAAGTATAACGGTGTTAATAAAGCTTAAAAATAAAAAAATAAAAGAATTTACTTCTATCCTAAAATCCTATCGTATACCATAAATATACCACACATATTCCACAAATAAATATTGAAAATTTTAAATTACTTGAGGAAAAAGTTTAAAGTTTAAAATATACAACATTTATTATTATAGTAAATATAAGTACTTTATGTAATTTTGTAAAAAAAATGTATTACAAAAGTATTCCTTTGCCGTGACCAGGATTCGAACCTGGGTTACTACGGCCACAACGTAGGGTCCTAACCACTAGACGATCACGGCTATTGAAGGAATTGAGAACCTCGAACAAATTTTTAATCTTATACATTTATATTAATTAAAAAAAAAAAAAAAACGTTAATGACGCGTTTATCGTAAGTTATTCAAAAAGATTGCTTTTAAAAATAATAATAAATAAATAAAGGGAAATAAAGAATATCGATCACTTTGACAGAAACATTTAGTTATTGAGTGACTCGTACTGTCATCTGGCGGAAGAAAAATAAACACTTATATGTTCATTTGGCTCTCATATGATAAATGTATACATATAAAATTTATATCAGAATAATAAATATTATAATACATGTGTATAATATATTTTAAATATATATATATATATTAAATATAAAAGATAACCATACTCGATCATACTTGATGATATTTGAAAAAGGAAATATGCATAATGCAATGCAATGGAAAATATGTGTTAATATGCCTTATTAAATTATGGTGATTAAATACCGAAATAATTCACTAATGAAAGGTTAAGATTAATATAACGTGCTTCTATTTTCATTTCTCGGCGCGGTTTATCTTGCATTTCCGTTTCCTTCCCTCTTCAGATTACCTTCCTTTTAAAAAGCCCACTACCAATGATCGTTGCAAACCCTCTCTCGTGTCTATCATTCTCTCTCTCTCTCTCTCTCTCTCTCACTCACTCTCTCTCTTATTATTCTCTCGTACTCGCCCTTTTCCTTCCTCTTTAACAAAAGCCTTTATTTATAGACTTTGGCAAGTTTATCTTCCTATTCTATACGTGGATGTTTATTAAAAAAGAAGTCGTTAGTAATTGTTTCTCTTGCATAGAAAGTGTAAAAAAAATAAAACTAGTGGTGTGAAAAAATAAAGAGAAAGAAAAGAAAAAGTGAGGAAATAAGAATAGGAGTAAACGCTTTGAAAAGAAAATCTATCGCATTTTTGTCTGCCATTCGTGTGACGGTAGTGTGAAAATGTCAGACTACTGGTGATTCATTCCTTCATTAACTCGTCTTTCATTCGTTTCTCCGAGACGTTCTGTTTGACGAGTAGGTGAGTGTTTTCGCGCTTTTTTTTTAATCCTACATTATGGTTTCTACTTATCGAAATAGTTATTTACCTGAATATATCGCTAATTAGTATTCATTTTCAATAGGAATATTTATTTTTGTATATTAAGGATATATCGTGTTTTGAAGGTTAAGTAACATTCGAAATTGTACGTTGATTCGTCACCGATGGAAGCCCTTTAATTTTAAATACCCCAGTAATTATTTTCATTTATTTTCTTCATTTATCCTTCGCTGATGATGATAATAATAATAATAATAATAATAATAATAATAATATAGAATCGTTAATGAAACGTTTAATGAATATAGTGTGTAGTGTGATATTTCTCCAATAACGAGATATATCTTCTTTGTATCTAACGCATGTTAGTTATGTATTACATTTGTTGAAAAATGGAAACATATTTTTGGAAAGTGATAACTAAAAATGGCGAGTGCTTGTGTGGGATTGTTAATCTAATTTATTTCTATAAGGTCTTATAGAATTTTTCATAAGGTACGAATATTATGTTAGAGAATAACCTTCTCCAGTTATTCTCAAATAGTATATAGAGAGTTATTTTTGATTAGCTATTAGAGCTTAACGTATCAAAGTTATTATTTGAAATTTGGATTGAGTTGATTAAAAAGTAATTTAACACAACACAACAATTTCTTTGGCTAGAATTGTTTTACTACTTGTTTTAAGTAACAAATTGCACCTATTTTTGACCCTATTTTTGACCCTATCATTGAATTTAATCTTTTCATTTCTTATCGCGTGTTATTTATTGATATGATATTTTTCTTTCATTTAGGATGATGGAGGAAGTATTGAATCGTGGCAGTACGCCATCCAAAGAAACTTGTTTTCCAGATAATAATTCAACAGATATCAATTCTACGCCTACATCTAATTCGGATGAAAGAATATCAGATGGCAATGTACGACAGTCACTGAATGCCAGAACTCCATCTACTAAAAAGGCTAAAAGAGTGAGATTTTTTAGAAATGGTGACAAGTTTTATACCGGTGTTGTTATGGCAGTAACGCATGAAAGATATCGTAGCTTTGATAGTTTAGCTTCTGACTTAACAAGAGCCTTAGTATCAAGTGTGACATTACCTAATGGAGTTCGAGCTATTTATACCATGGATGGAAGAAAGATACAAAATATTTCCGAATTAGAAGATGGTAAATGCTATGTAGTTTCTGGACAAGGAGAAATCTTTAAAAAGGTCGAATATTCATCGTCAAAAGTAAAAAGAGGAAGCTCTCTTTCCGGCTTACCTCAAACTGCAGCTGCTACTGGTAGACAAATAAGCGCTATTCCTTTGTGCGTAAAAGCAAGAATAGTAACATTGATAAGACATGGTACTAAACCAAGAAAGGTAGTACGTCTTTTATTAAATAAGAGAAATGCACCAAGTTTGGAACACGTAATGGAAGCTATTACGGAAGTGGTAAAGCTTGATTCTGGAGCTGTAAGAAAAGTATATACTTCATCTGGTCAGCAAGTTACTTCTTTGGAACAATTTTTTGAAAATGACGATATCTTTTTGGCATATGGAACGGAAAAATCAAATCAAGAAGATTTTGAATTAGATTTTGAAGAATCCAAATGCGTCCAAAGTTTTCGTAGATGTCCATGGATTTCAAATAGGCAAAATGGTCCAATGCCAAGAATGCCACGAAAATCTGGGAAAAAGGTTCTTACTACTCCTCAAGTCAGAACACCAAGTCCATCTTCATTAATTTTACCTCAACCACTACGTTTACATTATGCCGTGGGACATGTAATCGGAGATGGAAATTTTGCTATAGTAAGACATTGCATTCATAAGTAAGTGATATTTTTCTAATGATTTTATTTAATGTTGACTATTATTTTCTATAAATAAATTCGTATATTTTTAGAGCTACAGGGGCAGAGTATGCTATGAAAATAGTCGATAAGTATAAGTGTCAAGGAAAAGAAACAATGTTAGCGAGTGAAGTTGCAATTTTGCGTCAGGTATGTCATCCAAACATAATTAGTTTGGTTGCAGAACAAGAAACAATGGATCAGTTGTTTTTGGTCATGGAACTTGTCAAGGTAAAATGAATTATTTCAAGAGCATAATATAATATTACTGTACTATATGTTTCTATATAATAAAATGTTTCTATTGAAATAAATCGTATTTATTATAGGGTGGTGATTTATTTGATGCAATAGCCGCTGCAACCAAATTTTCAGAAGCCGAAGCCAGTGTAATGATAGGACATTTAACATCTGCTTTAGCATATTTACACTCTCATCATATTGTACATCGTGATGTTAAGCCTGAAAATCTTTTAGTTGAAATGGAGGGTAGTCATGTACGGTGTTTAAAATTAGGAGATTTTGGACTCGCACAAATAGTGAGAGAAAATCTTTATACTGTTTGCGGAACGCCGACATATGTAGCACCTGAGATACTTGCCGAAACTGGATATGGATTAAAAGTATATAATATTTGTTATATTGATTTTTAAGAAATAAAATCGCGCGCCGCGATGATTTATGGTCGATGATTTATTGCAGATTGATGTCTGGGCAGCTGGAGTAATTTTATACATTTTATTATGTGGTTTTCCACCATTTGTTTCGCCAGAAAATGAACAGGAAGAATTATTTGAACGTATTTTAAGTGGTCAATATGAGTTCACCTCACCTTACTGGGATACAATCTCGAATTCTGCTAAACAATTGATCACAAATATGCTTCAAGCGCAACCAGAACTAAGGTTCAGTGCAGAAGATGTACTTGATCATCCATGGTTAGCGGTAAATATCATTTCTGATAATTTCCTAGTAGAAGATCTTTAAGTACACACCTGCATGGCTTACCTTTGTTTATATGATAATGTGATTTTTAATCCTAATAGCAGCCTCCCTTGTTAACTGATTATTATTTTTTACATTGCTTTTATTCATTACGTTTATTTATTTTTCCTTGTCGGAATCGCGCTATTGTCGAAGAAATATTGTATTGTACAACAGTGTAAAAATATTGTTTTTATTTAGATTGCTTTGAGTATTAAATATCATTCGCATACCACGCACAGCTATATTCAATTGATGAATAATATGGTATTAGACATGCTTCAGTAGTAGTTTGCTGTATCTGTAGCCAGTGCTTTTTTTTCTCTTTTGTCCTGCCTCTGTATATCAGCAGAGCTTTCTAGGAGGCAAGCAGACCTCAACAACATCTACCGACTCGACGGAGCAATACGGGGATCAGCAGTGTAAGCCGATAAGGCTAGCCACATTTGAGTTTGATTATAAGAAGCAACGAAAGCACAATGATTCTCAAGAAAAAGCGAATAATATTGATAATAGTGAAAGACCTAATCAAAATAATATACCATCATCCTTAGATGATAATTTCATTATTTATATGAATCGTTATCAACTAAGAGCTTTGGATAGTAAAGATGATGAAATAGATTTGATCGGCGTTGATGGCGTTGATGGCGTTGATGGCGAAAATGGACCTATGTCTCTTAGTGCTGATTGTTTGCAAGATATTCATACTCTTGATCAATCTTTGCACAATCTTATAAATACTCTTAACAAAAATGAACATCTTGAAGATCCTTTAAGATTATCACATAGTACAACTTCTTCAATGAGCAGTATTCCTAAGAATATTAATTTATCTTTACACAAAGATAATTCCACATCATTGATATGCGATTATCATAATAGTTCTTCCTTTCGCATTAATACACCTCCTAATAAAAGTGTTTCCTTAGCGAGGATAACTACTTTAAATAAGAGAAATGGAAATTCTTTAAGCGATATCAATTTTAAAGAAGATACACAAGGCGTTCAAATTTTTCAGATAAATAAGAAAACAGATAGTAAACGACAAAATAAAAAATATACACGATTTTGTAAAAACTCTAATCTATCATCTAATACCAAGTTAATGTATAAAAGTGATGATCTCAAGAATTGTAATGCAGTGTCGTCTTCGACTGACAGTTTTACTGGTAGTTCCAGTAATGATATAGAAACATCTGACAGTTTTGTTAATATTCAATTCGCTCAATCAGCATATAATCGAAAATCAAGTTCAATTCAAAGTATGGAGTCTACTGATAGCTTCGAAAATATAAGAATTTCTCTTAATCAAGATGATGTCAAATGCAGCAATAATAAGAACGATCCAAATCAAAACAATTGTAAAAAAGTTGAAAACATTAACGATGAAATATTGAAAAAAAAGATTAATCTAAGAAATAATACGTCTAAACTACCTACTAAAGCGCGAAATTTTCATGCTGATGACAAGAATAATTCTGTCAATAATATGACGAAAGGACAAGATGCAGTAAGACATTTAAAAAATGGTTTATCATATTACGGCGATGATAATCCATCGAGGATAAAAACCTGTACCAAAAGTTCGGTGAAAATGAAAAGATTTAGTTATATTCCTCAATACTCTACAAAGAAATCCATTGAGTGCGTTGATATTAGCAATTCATCTAATTATACAGGTAGAAAGGATGGACGAAAATTTCGTTCTACCGATGAATTAAGAAATGAAAAACAAAAACAAGTTAAACCAAAACGATTTAGTCTTTATTATACGCCGCAACCTTCGAGGAAAACATACGAGACAGAATCGAAAGAAATTAAGAATATTTATAAAACTTCTAGCATAGATAATAACGAACGTCACAGTAATGTTAAATTAGTTGATGGTAACAAGAAAAAAGATGATACACCGAAATACGACGAACAGAAAAATATAAGAAATCGAAGATCTGTTATAGATGCATCGACAGTTGCTAGCAGAGGTAAAATAAATAAATAAAATATAGTTGATATTATATTATATCATTAATAATAACATTAAATGTTATGGGACAACAAGTCAGACAAAATCTGTGGGAAATGTATAGATTGAAAAATGTATTATTAAGATGGGTTCGGTGCCCAAAAAAAGTCCAAAGGCGTAATGACTAAGTAAACATAGTACTATTAACGGTGAAACGGTGAAACGGTATTAAAAAGTGACATTATTTGTTTTCAGCTTTGAAATAAATAACTGTGATTAGAACAGATGAGACACAAATAATACAAACGAGACATGCCAAATGCATTTAAATAGAATATTTTCTATTTGTGATAGGTGTATGTAGTTTGAGTAATATATAAGCAACATGGTAGAGATTTAAGCTTTCCAAGAAATATAAGTGCGTAGGTAATTGAAGTTATATTAGTGCATAATTAGATAACGTAATTTTGACTGAAATCAACTGTTTTTATCCTACGACGTTAGTAAGAAAAGAGTCAAAAATTATGAAGCATGTTTCCCTTCTAGAATATATTTATATAAATGATTATTAGAGTAACAGAATTTGTCTCTATATGGAATCGCCAACCAATATAACATACTACGTTAACTTTTCAAGCCAAAATAGAAAATGTATTATAGACAAGATTTAAAATATCCAACAATACTAAATATATGAGTATACACATTAATAAACTGTCTGTTTCCAATTAGTAATACATTCACAGTTCTTAAAGACAAAAAGTCTTTTTTTCTTTAATAGGTTTATGTTCCTGCGACTCAACGCTAGAACGAGTTTGACAATCGAAATGGCTAGGAAACATTTAAAATAAACTGCAAGAAAATATTCTTGTATTTCTTTGTCCTTGCTATTTTTACTTTTTTTTAATTGTAAAAATTGCATATCGATACGTATCAATACTACTATCCAGTACGGTAAGAAGATAAATTATTAAAACAAAAAAATAAATTAAAAAAGAGCAAAAAAATATTGGACAAATGCTATCGCGTTTTTGTAATATCAATTAATCATTACTTAGGGACAATTATTTGAAATTTTTTACGTTATTTGTTTTGTTTTTCTTACAAATTATTTAACACTTGTTTCAAAAAATCATTAAAATAATAGTTATTTGAAGAACCTGTGTGTGTGTGTGTGTGTGTGTGTGTGTGTGTGTATGTTTTTGTGTATATATCATTTTTACCATGCCAAAAATGTATTGGAGGAAATCCATATGGAAACTCGATCTTTATCATATGAGCTTGAATAACATACAAGTATTACAAAAATGTAAATATTATTTATATAATATATTTTATAATTTTTTTTAATATTTCATTGATATAGACAAATCGAAGAATTAATTAATTGCAAGTTGCTGAATATATGTTCATTTAATTGATTAGCTTTGATTAGCTTTGATTAGCTTTGATACATATTGATACCTAATTGTCTTATTTTAATTCTTGCTTTAAGCAAGATTATTGTATTATTAAGATATTTATATATAAAAAAGAAATAATCAATATCTATTCAAACTATTTTTGATTTAGTTAGAAATTGTTGATTACATTAGTAAAGGTAGATGTTATGCATTTAATATGTGGGAATTTTTCTTCTCTTTTTGATGGCATAAAATTCATGTTATTTAAACGTATAGATTTATGTGATAAAATTCATATTTTTCTAAAGTATTATGGTAATATATCAAACAATTATGTGAACAATGTGGAAAGACTATGTATAAAATAAAAAGTCTTGCGCGATATATTTGTAGCAAGTAGATATATTTGTGTAAGTTTTAAAATGTTATTTAAGTTAAAGAACTTTTAGTCTGAAATTATTTTTGCAGAGTAAATGGCACAAATAAAATAGGTACCATTTCTGTTGTCGCTTGCGCTCTGGCTTGTGATTATACAATTTTGCTAGAAAATTTTTGTATTTTATAATGTGAATAATGATATTTCTTCATTATCTTGTATATACACAGTAAGAAATACGTAAATATTATCATTTTTTCGAATGTTCATAAATCATGTGCAATGAAAATTCATCAATTATTCATTTTTATATAAAATCATTCATACCAAATATTGAAATACATTGTTTATATATTTATATTATATAATATTATTATTCTACATATAGGTATATACGTGTATTTACATAATATATTTTATAAATCTATATTATATTTCCATTAATAATAAATATCGCATATACATACGATGTATAATTTGCATTGTATATTATACATCATTTGTGTATGCTATAATTAACATATTATATATACAGTAAATATAAATGTACGTTTATTCATAAATAGTATATCATATATTGATTGCAATTTACATTCAAGTGTTTAACAGCATCGTGGTGTATTTTATTACGTAATAATTCTTATCAAATATCATTTGTATTTATTTTACTAAAATTATAATGTTATAATATCAACAACAACAACAACAAATAAGGAAGATCAAATTTAAGCCGATTTATAATGAATTTGTAATATTCTATAATGTAGAATCTTGATAAATCCAATTGATTCGATGTTTTAGTCATTCCTTAGTATTTTTCTAAGATAAAAAAACTACATTAAAGTTTGAGTTGATATTATGGTATATTGAAATATACTTTTGTATTTATAAGATTATATCACAGTATTATATTAATATATAAACATATTAATTATAATATAATCATTTCTTTTGTATAGAAGATGGAGTTTTAAAACTTTTTAACTATAAAACTATGATAAATTAATAAAATTGTTCACCTTCCTTGCAAGTACAATATTAAAATGCTCTATGTATTTGTATGATTACTGTCAATTTACAAGTAAACACATGAGATACATCACGAGATCGAAGTAAAGGATTCGAATTTGACATAGTTACAGGCAGAAATTATTTAAGAGTTTTATAATTAAAATCTAATATAATTTTCACTAAAAATCGTTTGTAGCAAAATGTAACATTTTAATTTAAAAATAAAGAAATTTAAAACACATACAGTTGCTTATTTAGTGATATCAAAGTAAACTTATGTACGTCAATATTATATCAGTATTGAGTTTTATCTTGTAAAGAAAGTACATTCTTGCCTAAATATTAATTCTACAAAACTTTTTACGAATTTGTAAAATGGAAAATACTTTTATCAATGCAATTATGAAGTATATCCCTTGAGTAGTGATAGGTTATCACTTGAAATCACATAATGTATTTTTCCAAATAGGATGCAGCTGTTCTGACTAAAAATAATCTAGACAATAATATGTTAAGAGGTAAATATTATAATTTAGTTAAAAGAAGAAGTAAATATTTTAATACTATTAAAATAAACTTACTTTATTCATATACAAATTGATTTAGGTTGCATTTATTTTTAATCAATTAATAAAAATCTTGTGTGTGTGGGTAATCTGTATTTTATTACCGACTGGTAAAATATACTTCGCCATCTATCGGCACAAGATATTACTTCACTGTACCGACTAGTAAATTTAGGCTGCCATCTAGCGGAAGTAAATGTTACTATGTCTTACCGATTAGTAGAATATGTTTCGCCATCTAGACAAAAGATAAAACATCACTAGAATAAAATCAAGATGGCTACCTGTCAATGTACTTTGAATACCGTAAATACTGGCTATGTGCAATGTAAAGTATTTAATTAAAAAAATCCTTAGAGTGGTGCAATAATCAAGTGAATAATATCTTTTATTTATAATAATTCGTTTCATATTCTTTATTTAGTGATYGCCAATTCTGGATGAAAATAATTAAACTGGATAAAGTGCTGTGGGACAGTGTTATGTTATAACCTAAGAAAAATGATTTTCTTAATTAAATCCGAGAATGCAGATGAATTCCAGACGATCTCTTTATCAAATTATTATAACAAATACTACTAAGTAAAGTATATATTTTGTTATACGATATTCTACTGATTATTAAAGTATATGGATTGTTTTGTTTTTTAACTTTATGCATTATGTAAAATTTTTCTCTCTTCAAACTTATTTTGATATACATATAAAAACTACTTTTAAAAATATTTTTAGATCAGATCAGCATGCAGATCTATATTTTAAATTCCAATCCAAGAACGTTATACTCAAAAGAAGAGGAGTCCATTACACCATTGGATCAATGGATATATATTTCATTTTCTTACGGCTAACGATTAGAAGATTTGCATTGATTATGTAATCCGAAAAAGAGTTTTATTCTATAATATTATGTAAATAGAATGCAGCTGCAGTA